AAAAAATTACAAATATAATTAATTAAAGTTTAAGAAAATATATAAAAAACTGTATTTTACAAGCATTTCAATGAAGGTTATTAGGGCATTATTTTATAAATCTTAATTTTTTATTTTTTCTTAATAAATGTATTTTTTAAGAATCTATTAGTTTTACATAATTAAATTATTACTAAAAAACATATGGGAAAATAGTAAAATAAATATTTTTTTGTATAAATTCAATTTGGTTACAGAATGTCGATGATTTTAAGGTTATTTAAATTTTACATGACTCAGGAGAAGATTTATGTTATGATAACCCGGAGCATCCTCAAAGCATGGTGGTTGCGCCGGGTGTTCAGATTATAAAGTTATTAAACCCCAATGTAGAAATATAAATAAAACTTTAATATATAATTAAGTATGTATTAGAAATATTTATATTATATTTGTATAGACAAAACAAAATTTCAATGCAAAAATTTTAATAATAATTACTGCAAGACATAATAAAAATGTGACAAAAGCGTTGAATAATATTAAATAAAATTGTAAATACAGAAAATAAACGTGTATTAAAAATATATAACTTCTAAGCGGTTCAACATTCTAATTCGGAAAAACTTTTATTCAACAAAGCGATTGAGTTTTTTTTTTGTTATTTAAACTTTTGTTCATAAAAACTTTACGGTTAATACCGGCAGCCATCGCCGCTTCGATCCACTTAAAGACTATTTAATAAATTTGAAAAGTAAGAGAGGAAGAGAATTACTAAAGAAAGAAGGAAAAAATAAATGCGTGGAGACAAAGTTTGAAGCTCTGTTTAATAGAGGTATGCAAAACCGGAACGCGCTTTTTTCTCTTATCAAATTACATAAGAAAATCAACTTTCCGTTTCCGTTTGATCTGATTATGAGGTTATGTTTAAATATTTGATTGGTTAAGAAAAATAAATTAGTATTAGTATAATGCGTCAAATGTGACGAAAATGTTTTCCTAGAGTACCAATTATTATATAATCAATTGAATATTGACAACTTTGATGAACTAAATCAAATTAATAAACATCTTTAATATCTTAATACTTATTTAACATTACGAAAAGTTTTCTTTATTAGTTACAAAATCAATAATCAATAATATAACTTTTGGTACTTAATATATTGAATTGACGAACTAAAGTAAATTATCAAATATCTTTAATATCTTAATAATTATTTAACATTACGTAAAGTTTTCTTTATTAGTTATAAAATCAATTTCCAAAATATAAAATCATTTACAAGATATCAAAACAAGAAAACGTTTTTGTTTTAATTACGAAAAACACAGTCTAGTTCCAAAATTTGCATTACTAATAATTTAACTGTTGGTAGGAAGTAAGAACAGTTTTCTTCTAAATAGAAGTATTCGAAAAGACCTAAGTTGTCGATAATTATGTAACATTTCGTAATATTGTATACATTAGTAGTTACATAATTAGGATGCTCACTATTATCAAAAAATATAAATTTAAAAAATGTATTTTACATATCCCAAAAATTGATAAATTCTGAAGAAATACTAGAAAAATCGTGTAAAAATAACTTAAAAGATTTAATGTCTTAAAATAAGAAATAAGAAAAAATATATGTTTAGAAAATGGATGTAGCATTACGTAATTTCATAGGATTATCGCATTAATTAAAAATTAACTTTATTTTACTTTTATAATTAAATGTATTTACACGAAATTATTTATTTTAAAAAAGTTATTATGTAATAGGGCTGAATAATTCTTTAAAAAATCATTTTTTAATTCTATTTTTAACCATTTTTTTTCTCTTCAAATCTGAGTATTAGGTATGAATAGTTAGAAAAATTTAATAAATATTAATGAATAACCTATTTTAATGATTTTAATACATCTCTTTAATTCCAGAATAATTTAGAAAAAAAATGTAATATTATATAATTGAGCAAATCTCAAGGGTATAGAAAAATCGAATGCAAGTAAAATTTGTCATAAATCAGAAATAAATCACAGCTTTATATAAATTTATAGTTATACTAGAATTCTAATTAAAAATACTAATTTAAAATTTATGGATTTAATGCTTTTTTTCCTTATTCCTGATTGAAATTTCTATAAAATTTACGGTGTTCCACGTATTATATAACGGACATAAATTTTTCAGCGAAATAGTTTCAGCAATTCTTCTTAATGGCATCATAACGTCTCCCTATCTCTCGTTTCCTTTTCCTTCCTACCGCCGAGTGCCACGAAACCAACTTTTTTCACTGCAGCTTTACAGCTCTTCCTGAGGGCCGACATCCTCCACTATAATTTAGTTTATGCCAGATTTGCGAGTGGTATTTCTTTAAAATTGGTTAAAGTACGGTCGAAGGAAACGGAGCCTCCGAGCGATAAGACAATAAGGATGCATATCAATAAATTCACGGAAAATACGATTTCTTTAAAAAAAAATATATAATAAAAGTACGTGCTATGTGTAAGATAGATTATTTTTGCTTTATTCTCTCGGGTAACGCATGAAAAATGCATGTTCTCAAATAAATTACATTCTCTAGTTAAATTTGTTGTTTTCCACTGTTGTTGTTTTTTTTATTTGCTTGCTCTTCTGCATGGAAGTTGGAAACACAATTAAATATTCGATTAAACGAATGCGGATAAACTTTCGTTGTTTGCATAGTGCAATGTAAAGGGAATACTGGAAAAGACGTAATGCGGAGGAAAATTTAACAAAAACAAATATCATGGTTGAAAAATTGTGTTTTTTTTATTATAGGTCGATAAAAAATTGGAAATAAATAATTGAATTTTCACTACGATATAATTATTATTAAAACAAGACATATGTCTTCATAATAATGAAATTAAGAAAAACTTTTTAATAGTTTTCCATCAAAATTTATTATTTTCTAAATTAACTTTTACTTGTACTTAAAAAGTAATTTAATTATTAACAGTAGTAACAAAATTACAGTGTTTTATATTTATTTTTTATAACTAATTTGAATAATTTGTATAAATATATAAGAAAATGAACTATTTGGTGGTATATTATTACATAGATTTTTTTTTAATCAATGAACAAATTATATATTTTTTTTTTTTCATACAAGAAAAAAATCAATTATTGTTTTCTATTTTATTAATATCTAGATTTCTTTAAACATAAATCATTATTTATTGTTATTTATTGATTTTTCATTATCGTTTATAAAAGGTGAATAAATCTGTCATGTACATTATTTTATTTATATTTTACTATTGATTATTCGTTCGATAATATGACTTGATTTCTAAAGATTTTTTACACACATTTTTTGTACCTTAACAACCGATATAATAGGAAAGTTAGACGGAGTCTGGACGTGAACGAACCATGTATAATATATTATTTTTTTTTTGTTAAATTGCTTTTCTGTGAACGAAAGTGACTAATCTGATATATTTCCAATAAATTTCAATACAATTTTTTTATTATATAATAAATTTATCTTATAAGAAAATAATGAAAACTTATTTGCTTAATCATTCAATATTAAAGTTAAACTAGAATTGTAACTTTATTTAAGATGCATCTAAAATGGAAAAATACAATACGGGGAAATCCGTTCCGCCAATATCTCGGGCTATTTGAAACCGGACTATACGAGGACATTAAAAACGCATAAAAGAGAATTGTTATACAACTGTATAATAAATTTGTACTAATTTAAACCACAATATGCGAGGTATTTCTATACTTATTTATAAATAAGAACTTTGAAATAATTATTTTAAAGATATGATTTTATCTAAAATTTTGTAATAGATTTCAAATTTGTTATTATAAAGAAAATCATGGTTATTATTATTGTTTATTATTAAATACTTAATTATTTCTATTAATTGAAATTTTAGATTAATTTACAGTAATATTATACAAATATTATTAATAATTGCAAAAAAATAATGAAAGTTACATAAGTTTTATAACTATTATATCGATGTGAAATGTCAAATACACAATTATTATTCTCTTGGTTTCTATATTTTCTTCTTTTTAAAGGTCTCGTTATTTATGAAGACGTAGCGCTGCAATAGTGGTGCATTTCTATGCTTTCCGTGCAATCGTTTGTTCATTCGTCTGTAGCTTCTTCATATGCTAGTGAACACTTCCAAAAGGAATTCTACAAGCAAGGCACGATGCATCCATTTTTCATTTCAAGTCGATATATATTACGTCACTATATCAGTATTCAGACGAGGATTATCCAAAAACGAAGATGAAACGAATTGCGTGATAGATAAAAATGATATAAATTCGACACAAAGAAAAATAATTCTAATTTATTTCTTGAAAATATGCAATATTTCAAAGTATGTGAGTTTGCATATATAAGAGAGATAGTTATTAAATTTTTAATATCTCTAATATTAGTAATAAATCTTGAAATTATTATATTCTCATATAATTTTTATTTACCCTTAGATGCTCGCGTGGCGTTTCTGAGACGAATACCAACCAAGTTTTAAAACTGGAAAAACTGACTTATGTACCGTCTAAATACGGACTGACGATTTGTAAAAACACATCACCATATTATAAGAGTTATGTTAAACTTTTGTTTTTTTTTCTATAATTTGTAAAAATTTTAATAACCTCTGAATTTTTGGTATGCAATTAAAGCATCAATTTTTTTGGTACCTACATTCATCCTTCATTTTACATTGTAGTTTCTTTACACGTTTTCGCTTTTATACGGGGTTTATACGTTTTTTTGCATACCTTTCAATTTATACGTTTCTCTCAGGAACTTATTTACCATGTAAATTTGGGGATAGTTGTATATATATATATCATTAACAAAAGTATTCTAAAGTGCATGATAATAGTTACTTAGTAGATTTATAAATATTCATTATAAAAACAATCTTTGAGTAAGATTTTTCCCAATCTGTTGTGTTTTTATTCATAAAATCTTGTAGGAATAATAAATTAATTATTTTCTATGTTCCTATTTTTCAGGTTCTATAAGTAATATAGATGGAGCAGAGTACAGCTGCAACAAGACGCAAGTGAGGAAAGTTATTTCCGGTGTTGTTGGTGCAGCATCGAGCGTCACTTCCATCCAAGTGGCCAATTTGTTGAGGCTTTTCAAAATACCACAGGTAAGTGAAAAATAATTCTATTCAACTAATAAAAGCATTCAATGAATGAAAATTGACGTAATAAAACCATTATGATACGATATAATACCAAAGATGAGAACTAAATTGGACAATAAATATAGTATAAACTACTGTAATAATTATATTGGGAAAGTCATAACAATGAAGTATAGAGTCACGAAAATGAGTATTAAAACTGACGTAATAATTTGATTAGAATCATTTAAATATTAGCAAAAAAAGTAGAGGAAACATGTGAGTATTAATCCTATTAGGCTCTTCAAAAATGAGTACTAAATTTTATAATAAATAGAATAATAAAAATTGAGTATCAAAAATAGAGTTAACAGTAATATTTCCAATAACATCATTAAAAAAGTCACAGTTAAGTAATAATTTGATTAGATTTATTTAAAATTGTAAAACAAAAATTCAGTTAAAACTTAAGTAATAATCATATTGGGATCATCAAAATACTAGTACAAAAATGGACAAGAAATAGAGTAATAAGAAATGATTCTACAAAAATAAACAAATACTGTACTATAAAGTATAGACAATAAATTGGTCAAAGCTTAAAGATGAATTCTATTCAGATCATGAGCACAAAAATGGTTAAAAAATAGAGTAATAAAAAATGGGTACACAAAAATACAATCACAACTTAAGTAATAATTTTGTTGGGAACATTCAAATAGTAGTAAAACCATACATAAAGTCAAAACTTAATAAATTAATCTAAAGATGAATTCTAAATTGTACAATAAATATAGTCATACTAATAAAGTAAAAAAAATAGAGTTAATACTTAAGTAATAAAAAAAATGCAGTAATAAAAATTTAAGTTGAAACATGAAATCAAAACTTAGGTAATAATTTCAATAGGATTATCAAAGATGAGTACAGAAAATGAATTATAAATAGATGAATAAAAATTGGGTACAAAAAAGGAGAGTCAACGCTAAGTACACAATTCCATTGGGTTTATATAAAAAAAAATGAGATGAAAACCAATTATAGGAAAAACAAATTCCAATTTCGTTTGGATGATTTAATTATCGAAATGTTTAATTAAGACCTTTCGTCAGTCCTTCCACCCCTCGCTCGATTTCTGCTTTCGTTGGTGGTGCGTGAAAGAATGTACATCGTCGAAAGTGAATTTGCGTAAATTGAAGGATCGGCGCTCCCTTATTTGTTGACTGAATGCGGGGACGGATAAACAGAATTTAATAATATTATCGATTCGTCGTTGTCATCGTCGTCGAGGGGTGGTTTGAAGATGTGGAAGCCATCCCTCGCGGCAAATTAATTTGCCATCTATTAATCCCCGCGTCCCACCTACACTTATATACCAGACTTTATAGTGGGGATATGATGAGACTGATTCGCATTCCTAACGCACGCTTTCCAAATAAACCGAACCATGTATAATTAAGTTATCAATAGATTCCCAGTTTTGATCAAAATCCATATATTTGAAATCCCGACAACCATAATCCCGACAGACTTAAAATGGTACTGTCGGGATTTCGAATGTCGGGAATTTGGTTGTCGGGATTTTGATATAGACCCATAGATTTCAACCTAATAGAAAACTAAAAATATTCTTATAATGACTGAAGGACAGATTATGGTAGATTGTGAATAAATCATGAAGAAATAATAAGTGTATATAGTTTTTTGTAATTACAATTATTACCGTATAGTTTCCTGTAATTTCTGTTATTTCCTCAATAAAATTTACTTTTTTCAGAAATTGAAGAATCTAAATCCTATTCATAATTCAAAATAAAAATAATATAAAAAAAAGTTACATTCTGTATTTCATGTTAGCATTTAATTTTGCAATAAAATGTAATTTTACATTTCTTTATTTCAAGAATTGAATAACTACTACAATACAATGCAAATTTAAAAACTGTAATTTGTAAGGATTCGAAATTCCAGTCACAATTATTTCCATATTTCTTTGTTTCTTTTTCTTTACGGAATTTAATTACTCAGCGATTTAGATTCGAGAAACAGCGGCGACCTTAGTAGCTCTAGCGTTTCGTGCCGAATGCAAAGGAACATGCGAGAATTGCATAAAACATTATTGCTGTTTATCCGGACTGCATCCAGGTTCAGAAAACGATACACGTGTTCCCCGCTTTCTCTGCACGGGGATTGTTGTTAACACTCTGAAAAAAAAAAGAAGAAAAATACAAATGAAACGAAGTTTCGGTTATTTATAGAGTCGTCGTGTACAGTCCTTACAGGCAGAAAACACATTGTAATTTACATTACAAATTGCGAAACGTAACGTAATAACACAGTTACGGATTACGTGCGTTGTGTCCGTATTTTCACAAGGAAATACATAATTTTAATATATTCGAAATGTAAGATATTAGAATTTGTATTTACGGTAATTATATTTAACTTATTTTACGGTAATTAGATTAAATAAAATTTTTTGACTTTTTAATAAATCCTTCATAATAAATAATTAATGCAATATGAAGAAACAGAATTTAAAATTAAAAAAAAAATAATATCTAAAGTTAAATTTTTCAATAAATTCTTCATAACTGATCAATAATAAATGATGAAATAAATATTGTATCCTTGAAGTAGTACAGATTTAAACAGTGGCGGATATATTCGCCCTATCATTTACTGTAGACTACGCTCTTGTAAAATTTTACGCATGACAATAAAGAGTAACCACTATTTTTTTGTGTATTTTATATATATTTTTGTTTTTTCAATAAAACCTTAAAAAATATATATAAAATAAAGAACAGGACAAGTATTGCATCTCTGTGTTAATCTTGATGCATTAAATCCTTAATAATTAATAATAAATAAAGAATAAATGATGAGACAAATATTGAATCCTTGATGTACTCCAGATTAAACCATTTGATGCAGATCGGCGGATATATCCTCCCTATCATATACAAAAGAGACTACGCTTATGCAAAATTGTACGAATGACTACTGTAGGGCGCATTCATCGAATCTTAGTTTCAAGTGAGGCGTCACTACTGTTTTGGTCTTTTTTTTAAGAAAACAAAATAACAATTATCAATTCCTCAATTTAATAGATTATTTCTTGGGCAAAATATTATAGTTAACAAAAATATCCATAAATTATTATTTTTCTTCAAGTAAGTTAATCAGTACTCTATTTAAAGTTTACTTAAATACTCAAAATTATTAAATATTTCCATATTCATTAGATTTAATTATAGAATATGTGAAATTTTAATTGTAAGTAAAATTATTCGACAGATTTCATATAATGACGTAATTAGATTTTTGTTTTGTTTATTTATTTATTCAAAGCGGAATAAATTTCTTTGATTCATTATAATTAAAATGAAAGCGGATTTTATAGTCGAATATACGAGTTGCTCGTCGATATCATGGAAAAGTCATTAAAATATCCACCACAAATGAATTGCATACATTATTATTAATTATTGCGCGCATATATTAAAATTAATGTGTAAAATTAATTTTTATTATCAATTTTAATTACATATTTGTAATTAATTTTTAATTAATTAATCGTCCTGATGTCACACATAAATATACAGAGGGACAATAAATTTTATATTTCCTTCATTAGGAAACTTTATGTATGATTTCAATACACTTTTAGTTAATCTAAAATTTAAAACATTTTTTTTACTTTCGTGAATTAATATAAATTAAAATAGAAAATACGTATTACACATTAAGTACATTTTTTTGTAATAATCGTGTTATATGAGAGATGACTATTGTAATACTTATTTGTACACCAGATTCGAATGTACTAAACTTGTTTTTCGTGTAAGTTAAATCGTGTTATAGGAGGGTTGACTTTACTAATACTTATTTGCATATAACGTAGTATCAATTAAGCGTGTGTTGTAGGAGAATTGACTGAATTCATCTTGTATATCATATAACGCGATTTCTAATCGCGTTAGAAGAGTATTTACTGTACTAATTTATGTTATGTTATGTTATGTTTCTTATAACGCGGTTTTATATATTACGTAGTACAATCTGAATTTAATCGTGTTAGAGAAGGGTTTACTCTAATAATACTTATTTTCATATAAAGCAGTATCAATGAATAACCTAATAGAATATTTGACTCTATTAAACTAGTCTTTCTTATAACGCGGTTTCCATGTAGAGCAGTACCAATTAATCGTGTTATAACGTTGAGTGCAGGTTTCTATGTAATTATAATGACAAAAATTGATACTGTAATATATGATAAATCCATGAATTGTATTGTCGAATTTAGAAATGTAATAATAATTGTTTTATATTGAATTGTAATTTGTTTAATAACTAATAAATTCAATATAAAAGTAATTTAGAAATATAGATAGAAAATAATTGAAATGAAGCTAAGAAAATTCTATACTTCCATCTCTTCTCTTATTTTTTGTGGCCTATTACTCTTGGTGTCTGGTGTTCTTACACTATTATCGTTGTCGGGAAAATTTATTTAGATCTCGGCACTCGGTGACTGTGCAGCAGCACACCAAACTTGGAAGTAAATACATTTCACATAAACTTGAAACGCAAAGGCACTCCGAAACAGTTGCGAAAATTGCTTCAGTTTTATGCCTTCCTCTGTCTTTCTACTCACCTCTCAGCAATACACTTTTATTGAAAGTATATATAACCTAACAATGTTATTTTTTTTACTATCTTATTTGCTAAGTTCCCAAAAATTGAATAACTTTATGTTACCAATAGAGTATATGCGTTTATAGGATTATGTAAAAAAAAAGTATATAGAAAACCTAAATATTTGTAGCAATTGTAATAAAGTTGAGAGAAATTCTTACTTGGAACTTCTCTCTTTGTATCCTATTACTCGTGGTCTGCTTTCACTCTATTATCATGGCACTACAATTTATTTGGATCTCAACGCGTTGCGACTGCACCAAAATTGGAGCAAATATATTTCACATAAACTTGAAACGTAAAGGCACTCCGGACAGTTT